CCTCAGTAAATCTGAGAAAGAACAAAAGAGGAGGGATAACAATACCTGATATCAAATGATATTTCAAGGCCACTGTAATCAAAACAGTCTGGTACTGGCATAAGAACAGACATATAGACCAATGGAACAGAACAGAGAGCCTAGAAATAAACTCCTGGCAATACAGTCAGTTAATATTTGACAAAGAGGGCAGAAGCAAATTGGAGTAAAAATAGCCTTTTCAGCTAATGGTGTTGGGAGATCTGGACAGCTACATGCAAAAAATTGAAATTTGATGACCAACTGACACCATACACAAAAATAAACTCAAGATGGATAAAACACTTAAATATAGGTCGCAACACAATAAAAGCCCTAGAGGAAAACATAGGCAGGAAACTCTCAAATATCCCATGCAGCAACATTTTCACCAATATGTCCCCTAAAACAGGAGACAAAGGAAAGAATAAACAAGTGGGACCTCATCAAAATAAGAAGCTTCTGCATGGCCAAAGAAAACATCAGCAAAATGAAAAGGGAACCAACAGTATGGGAAAATATATTTGCCAATGATACATCAGATAGGGGTTTGATAAACAACAATTTTAAAATAAATGTTTTGGAATTAAAAAAAAGAACAACTGTGTACTCTTATCTGTTTTTAAATGGTTCCTTTTCCATTTTCCCAGCTGGAAGCAGGAGGGTATATTTCTCTGAAATTTTAGAGGACTAGGTGGTGGGAAACTGATTGAGCTCTTGGAGGTGTATTTCGCAAATTGCGGGATTTCCCATTTGCTGGTTCCCCTGGAGGTTTTGTCCACACCAGCCTCCAGCAATCCATCAATTATAGTTCCAGTTTTCCTACACTGGCCCTGGTTCCTGTCATGGTTTCTGTTTGGGAGTCTTGCTGCCCTCAACAGTGACCCTCTGTATTTGTCTCTTTCTAATCTAGAGCTGGTTACTTTGCACTGCATACTCCCACCTTTGTTATGGATCCAAGGAGACTTGGTTGGTGATGCTTCAGTCCATTCATTTTTTACTTGTTGCTAGGACTCAGTGATGACTTCTTACATGTGGAACACAAAACTGGATATCCTTATAATACACACCTTAATTTATCACAATCTCTTTCAGGTTTATGCTAACTTAATTTCAATAAAATACAAATATTTTCTTATATTTCTTTTCTCCTCTTCTGGGCTACTTTTTCATATATACCATGTCCATATATGTTATATTCTGACAACAGTGCATTGCAGATTTTACTTTTAAAATATTATTATTTTTGTTGACACTATTACAGATGTCCTAAATTCACCCCTCCCCATATGCCTCCACCCATCCTACACCCCCACTTCCCTCTGCCTGTAACCACACTATTGTCTGTGTCTATGTGTTCTTTGGCTAATCCCTTCACCTTCTTTCATCCAGGCCTCTCCATGAGTTTATACCTCCGCTTCTATTTTGTTTGTTAGTTTATTTTGTTCATTAGATTCCATGTCTTTTTTTAATTAAGAGGGGAAAGGAGAAAAATGTATTTATACAATGTTTCATATTACTCCAAATACCATTTCCTTTACTTCTGTGGATTTCCGGGACTGTCTGGTGTCATTTTCTGTCTCCAGGATAGTGCCATTCCCTGCCTCTACTTTTTGTTCTCATTATATGTTATACTTAATGGACTTCAACCATGACAATAAAATTTGAAATTTATACTTCTATGTAGTTTTTAGATCAATTAAAACAATAAAAAAATGTAGTTATAGTCTTTTTTATATTTACCTTTTCCAGGGCTCTGTATTTCTTAATGTGCATTCAAATTACCATCTGCTACCATTTCCTTTTATCTTGAAGAACTTCCTGTAGTATGTCTTATGAGGTTTCTTCCAGCAATGGAGTTTCTCCATCTGTGTTCATTTGGAAATTATATTTTTTTACTTGGTGAGGGGCACATTTTTCTAAAGAGCTTCCAGATTAGGCAAAGGATTAGTGGGAATAAAACAGATGTGTCACTGAGAGAGAAGACCATCCCAGACACTGAGATATGGAGGGGCAGCATGGCTGAGTGATAGAGAAGCAGGCGGGTCCTATCTTAGGTGGCACCCAGTTGGAAAGAATTGGAACAGGATGTGAGTTGGCTCGGGTTACTAGCACAAAGCACTGCAAACTAGTGGTTTAAGAAAACAAATTAATTGTCTCGTAGTCCAGGCTAGAAGTCTGTAATCAAAGCGTCAGCAGAGATATTTCCTTCTGAGCCTGGAGAGGGAAGGATCTGTTCCAGCCTCTCATTAGGCTTGTAGATGCTTCATTCTGATCTCTGCTTGCATGTTCTCATCATGGTCTTCTTAATGAGAGTGTGTGCGTGTGTTGGTGTGTGTCTGTCTCCAAATATTCCCCTTTTATAAGGATACAAATCATATTGGATTAAGTCCAATGATGATGATCTCATTTTAACTTGATTATATTGTAAAGACTATTTCCAAAGAAGGTCACATTCTGATGTATCAGGGACAAGGACAACAAAATAAGCAACATAAGAATTTGTCTGCTTGATGGGATGAGAGATACAATTAAATGCATAACAAATGGTATTTTTTTTAAATCAATGAGTCTGCTACTCTTTGATTAACATGTTTTAAAGTTCTACTGGTAAAATGCACAATATGGGAGCCTATCATTTTGATAAAGAATCTTGTCTCACCTGGTCAAATGTCTGAGCCCTAGCACTGCTCCCAGGTCTCTCCCTGAGGCTGAATCCATGGATGTCTTTGAGTGGAATAAAATGTAGGAATTGAGATTTATCACCTTGGAGTGGGAAGGGTTAGACCTGACAATATGAAAATAAAAATATGCCTGGTAATTAACAAATTTAAAAAATACGACACATTATGAAAAAGTAAGTATAATACATGTAACTGGCAAAGTAGTATTCATATTATTAACAGAATTCTTATAAATAACCAAGAAAACAAACAATCTATTAAAGTGACAACACAAGGCACAAGTTGTGCAATTGCCCTTGTGATCAGGAAAATGCAAATAAAATACCAACAAAATACTTATGAGTTATTAAAATATAAAAAAGATTGATAATGGTGTTAGCCAAGAGGCAGGGGAATTGTTTTCCCACACCATATTGTTGGCATAATAGATTGCTAGAGTCGTTTTGGAAAGCACTTCTTCAACATCTATAAAAACATAAAATAGGTACATCCTTTGGCTCTGCAATTTCACTTCTGAGAATAAGATTAAGAAATACATATGTATTATCTATGTATATGTATAAATCAACATATATTTTTAAATTTATACATACATGAAGGACTGTCCAGAAAAAGTCCAGCCATTGTTAATATGACGAGAGCCATTTGTGCTACACTGATGTAACCTGGTAGCCAAAAAGAGTGGATTGGAATGTGTATGTGTGAACAATGAAGACTTCACTGTAGTAATGAATGGGGGTGGTAGAGGTTTTTGAGTGAGCATGTGTACTGTGTGGCCAACACATTCAAAATGATTGAGTAAGTAAGCAATGAATCTGCATCAAATTTTGTGTTTAGCTTGAATATTCCTCTGTGGAAACTATTCAAATGATTCAGAAGGCTGCAGCTGTGGGCAACTGGTGACTGGTAGCTTCATCACAACAACATGCTCGCTCATGAATCACTTCTTGTGCAGAGTATTTTTGGTGAAACAACAAACACCCAGGTGACTCAGTACCACTGCAGCCTAGATATGGTGCCATGAGATTTCTGGCTTCTCCCAAAACTAAAATCACCAATGAAAGAGAAGAAATTTCAGACCATCGATGAGAGTCAGGAAAATATGATGGGGCTCCTGATGACAATATGGAGAACTCTGTGAGGTCCCAAGGTGCCTACATGGAGGTTACTTTGTCCTATGTACAATGCTTCCTATATCTTGTATCCTCTTCAATAACTGTCTCTATCTTTCATATTACATGGCTGGATATGTTCTGGACCAGTTGCTGACTTATGATTCGGGTTATAATAACTAAGATATGTAAAAAATTTAAATATTACTAACAGGTGAGCAAGTGAAATTATTATACAAGCGTACTATAAAGCATGTGTATATGTATTTATGTAAGAGAATATATGTAAAAAATTTTTAATTAAAAAAGAAAAACAAGTTTCCAATACATAGGCAGATATCCAACTTACATAAGAAAATTGGGTAGGTATTTCTGTAAGTTCCTAATAAAAGAAAAAACAATGAAATTGTCAGTACACTCAAAACTGTAAAATGGATAATTAGAGGTTGAAGAGCAAGTGGAATGGAGGTGGGTAGAGTCTGTTTTAAGTTTTAGGTTTTGCTCTACAAACTAACATAATACCTTGAGTTTTATGCAATAAGAAAAGATATCTGTTGTATTTTTGCATAATAATGGAAATAGAACAACATAAATTTAAAAATTAAAATAATATTCACATATCTGCCTCCATGTTTTAAACTCCTTCCCCCAAATAATCCTAAATGTGTATGCTACAGATAAGGAACAAAGCTATTCCAAATTTTCTCAAGGACAAATAAGTCAGTTCCTGAAATTCATTTCCATTCCTGAGAGGTTGGAAGGCCAATTATGATGTAAAACCCAGAGTTGGGCACTTTCCTGGGTCCAAAGGAGGAAAGTTTTTAGGGCAACCTAATAGTTGCTCTCATCTGTTGTAGTGAGACCTACATACAAAGCAACGTTTGATTAAAACAAAGAGTGAGGCAAATTCTCATTGCCTTTCCCCTTCATTGCAGGTTCACATCTGTGATTCTTAGTTTCCTTGCAAGGTATTTTGTCCTTTCAAAAAAATGAGCACTCTTTCCTCATCTTTTTGGCTCGTTTCAGTTTTTTCTTCTTGATTTCCTCACTGCCTTCACTTCTTTTGCATATTTTCTCTTTTACTTTTCTTCTTCTGCAGCTGTTTCTTGTGCAGTGTCCTCTTTAGATGCTGCAGCTGCTTCTCTTATGTTCAGGGAGATATTGCACAGGGGCAGCCCCATGTATCTCACTGTGGGTATATGATGATGCAGTAGTACACGGCCGAGTCTCTCAGAGTAACCTGGGGCAGGATCAAGGTGCTGGACTTTCTGTCTGCTGCGATGTTCAGAAAGGCCGTTTGTTTGGTCACATTGTCTCTTAAACCATGAATCACATACTCTGGACCCTGACAGGGAATCTGTCGATACCAATATATGTACTCATTTGTACTGATTGTGGAGTGGTTACAGGGCAGGCGCACAACTTCATCTTCAGTACTCTCCACTGCATATGGCTGTGTGGACTTAGCATCACCCATAATACCTGAGGAGATGAGAAACAAGAGATTAGCTTGGGAATGTCAAATTTGGATGCATCAGCACTTCTGAACTCCCCTCTCTGGCTGTGTCCCCTACATGGGCATTTTCATGTGTGTTGCACAGGCCAGAGAAATATTACTGGTATTTATTATTGAGCTATCCAGAGCCACAGGCCAAAGATCAACTGCAGTGTTCCACAACCCTTGGGCTCAATGAATCCAAAGCTGTGTGACTCAGGGGATCTTCTGTGAGTAGTGGATGTGAGAAACTTCACACCATGGTGCCCAGATTCTCTGTAGAAACACACATACATGCATTTCCCACCCCCAACAATTTGGTCAAGTACAGTGGGAGAAGTAGAAGAAGCAGGTACCTGACCTTTTCTTTAGCCACAAAAGCTGACCTTCTTCAGACCCAGATCACTTACCCAAAGTTAGGCAAAGAGTTATTCCTAACACTGGTCTCATCGTTCAAGTACAAACAAGTTCCAGGCCTCAGAGCTCAGAATCTGTGTCTGATCTTAGGTTTGGGGTGGCTGCAATGACACACACCAGCCAGTAGTGCAGCCTCAACAGGGAAGCTTTCAATTGGGTGTTCCCTGGGCAGGCATCAGTGAGAGACACTTGGTTGGGTTTACTCCCACCCACAGAATTAAACATAAATTTAGAAAGGGGGCAAGAATGTTTTCTAAATGTGTGGTACTAACTCACAGGATTTACAGTGAGATCATTTTGAAATAGTCTATGATTGAAAGAGTTTGATTAAGTAGCATCATGCACATAGATATTAATCATTCCTCATTTGTGGTACATGGCAAAACCCACCATGGAACTGATAAGAATGTCCTTTAATACAAGCACCTCTGTAGAATCTTGGACCATAGGGGAGAACAGAATTCCTACCCATATTCCCAACCAAAGAAAGTTAGTGTCATGAACAGTAATACATAATTTTACTTCTAAAATTAGAAACTTCTTTCTGGTTAAAAAAAAAATTACCATAAGCTCATTAAAAATCTAATGGACTATGGAGGAAAATATTTGCAACATACATGACCAAAATAATTTCATAGTTGTATAATACCCCTGAGCTCAGTCTGACAGGATAAGATACAATCAGAATCCATTCTAGGAGCCAGGTTGCCTGTGCTCAGTTCTCCCACATTGGCTCCTGGCATGCCTCTGATCTTGTCACAGTGACCAATGACTTCAATAATTATTTGTATTCCACTTACCCCTCTTTACCAGACATATTCTCATCTCCATGCCCTTGCTCAGGGGTGGCATGCATTGAGAAGAAGAGGAGAAAAGTAGCGAAGGAAGAAGAGTCGGGAAGAAAAATCTAGAAGAGGAAATGAAATGACATCTTTTGACAAAAGAGGTGAAAATAAACATAAAGAAATTCCTCTGGTTATTCTCAAAAGTAGTTACTTTTTACAAAATGGGATAGAATAAAGTTAAAATATTTCCTCCCTCTCAACTACAGTAATTAAGCTGCTATTTTCACTACAGGGCAAATGTTTGACCATTTAAAATTAATTTATTAATCACCTCTCCTTCCTCTTCACATGAGGGGTCAGCCCTTTGCTCTCTATCCGGGAAAGGGCTCATTGTTGTGCTTGAGGCTGTGCAGAAGCTCAGGGTAAGTTGATAAAGGACAAGGAAACAAAGGGGATGAAAGGAATTTCTTTCACAGCTCAAGGATATGCTCTAACTCACCCTGGAAGGAGCTTCAATTCCCTGTGGCAACAGCCCCCTCTTCTGACTGTGGATATGAACTTTCTTAGAACTGGGGATCAGGTCAGTCAGCAACCTTTCCAGGTTTCTGTGTCCTGTCTAAGGGCAGATAGGTGTCTCATATCTGCTACCTCCCTCTAGTGGCAAGGCTCAGTGAAGAGCTTCCTACCACAAACCTCTAAAGCAGCGATTTTCAACTGGTGTGAAGCTAGAATTTTTAAAACATGTAATTCCTGACTACTTAGTCAGGGGCATTGACCTCTTTTTCCTTTAAATTGTCATGTATAAAACGGACAACTGCCAATGTACCAACAGCCGTACGATGTGAGTGATTCAAAATTATACCTATGTATTGGTGTCCCACAGAACTGAAGTAATTATTTTGTGTGTGCCGGCAGATGAAAGAGGGTGAAAATTGGTGCTCTGGAGGCTGAGTTATTTTCAGTCAGTTGGGGATTTTAGAATTATTTCTGTGACCTTTTAATTACAGAAACTGTCTATAATTCCTCCTCAATCAAATTCCTTTACTTTCCTTAGTATCTTGTTTTTCCATGGTTGACGGCTGTTCCAAGGGCACATTATTTATTGTTTAGCGTAGGATTTGGCAGAGACTAAGTACTTTAAAATCCTTTGTTGGGTGAATGTAATAATATTTATTGGGCGAAAAATGGAATGACTCAAAATTATTCTAACTGAAAAGTTCTTATTTTCTGCACAAGAAATAGAACAAAAATAACAAGCAGTGAGGATAAATGCAAAATTAGACATGTAGGCACAATTCAAACAGCACACCAACTCTCAGTCTCCATACCTCAAAAAAAGAAAGACTGACAAACCTAGCAGAGGGAGGCCCGATTAGGAGAATATTGCAGCCCGTGGCACGGTTTCATGAAGTCCTGCCAGCTAAAGTAATAACTGTAGTTCAAGGCTTGAAAGGAGTTCTAGGATGGCTGAAAGCAATAGGAAAAGTAAGAGTCATTATGTCTCTAGGTATATAATGAAACTTTCAGAGCAACATTACAAGTTTTTATCTGTTGTTCATTACTGCAGGATTCAGTATAAACAATCCAGACTGAGTCCTATCAGAAAATGAACATTGTGGAATTTTTGGTTTTGTTCATTTGTTTTAATGTAATAGCTTTATTGGTATATACTTCACATATGATATAGTTCACCTTTTCAAAGCATACGATTCAATGGTTTTTAATATATTTACAGAGTTGTGCAAGCACTACCTCCATCAATTTTCGACATTTCATTATCCCCAAAAGGAACCTGTTCCAATTAACAGTCACTCACCCTTTCCTCCCATGAGACTCCCTCTAGGCACCCACTACTCTATTTTGTTTCTGTCTTAGTCCATTCGTGCTGCTCTAACAAATTACTGCAGATTGGGTAGTTTATACACAACAGAAATTCATTTCTCATAGTTCTGCAAACTGGGAAGTCTACGATCAAAGCACTGGCAGGTTTGGTGCGCAGGGAAGTCTCGCCTTCTGATTCATAGGTGGTGCCTTCTTGCTGTGTGCTCACCTGTTGGAAGGGGAAAAGGATTTCTCTGGGCCCTCTTTTATAAAACCACTAACCCGAAAACTTTGAATTTTTGATGCCATCATCTTTCAGGATGCAACTAATGTATTTTGGGACCACACAAACATTCAGACCATAGAAGGTTCCATAGATTTTCTCATTTTGCTTATTCTATATAAATGGAATTTACAGTATGTGAACTCTTCTCCTTAGTTTTTTCACCTAGCGTGACGTTTTCTGGGCTTGTTCATCTATATTGTAACATGTATGAGCAGTGCATTATTTTTTATTGCCAAAATATCCATTGTATGGAGATACCATATTTCATTTAACAATTGATGCACATATGGGTTGAATATGTTTGGAAAGGTTTTGTATGCACTGATATTTTTATTTTTCTATGGAATTTCCTCAGAAAACTAAAAATGGAACTGCCTTTTAACTTGGCAATTCCAAAGCTGGTATTATACCCTAAGACTCCAGAAACACCAATTCAAAAGGACCTGCACACCACAATGTTTATAGAAGTGCTATTTATACTAGCCAAGTGCTGGAAGCATCCGAAGCGCCTATCAGGAAATGAGTGAATCAAAAGCTGTGGTACATTAACAGAATGGAATACTATGCAGAAGAGAAAAGGAACTCCTATCCTTCAAGAGAGAATGGGGGGAACTGGAGAGCATTATGCTAAGTGAAGTAAGCCAGGCAGTGAAGGACAAATAACATGTGATCTCACCTATAAGTGGAATCTAACCAACAAATCAAACAAGTGACCAAAATGGAACCAGAGACATGGAAATAAAGAACAAACTGACAGTGACCAGAGGGGAGGAAAGAGGGTGATAACAGGGAAATGAAGGGGAAGGGTTGTCAAACAACATGTATAAAGGACCCAGGGACAAAGACAAAGAGGGGAGAGGATTGAATGTGTGAGGTATAGGTGGGTAGAGCAGGGGAGAGTAAAGGGGGATCAATGGGGACAACTGTAATTGAACAAATAAAAAAAGACTGATACATCACTTGATAGATAAAGAGCTAGACATGATAGAGTTTTTTACATTGTTTTCTAATTAGAAAGAAATAAAATGTAGGCTAAAAATATCAGACACCCTAGACTGGGAGGTAGAGGGTGTGGAAATTCTCAAAACCCTGCAGCACAAAATTTTAATTGTGGTCCTGAATCCTGAGCAGGGCCGAAGAGGGAAAAAGAAAGAAATGTAAGATCGTGGGGAAGATAGAAAATTCAGTTTTGATACAGTGACTTCAATGTGAATGTGGGACATGCAGATGGAGAGTAATGAGAGTGGTTTGGAAAGATTAAGACACAATTCTTGGAAACAGCTTTAGTTTAATCTATGAGAGTCTCTGGATAGCAGTGAGGCAGTATCTGACCTGTCTTATGTAACACCCGGGGTTGTGATGTTAAATGAAATAAATGCACGTGAAGGTCCCTTGCAGCACTATAATGCATGGTGTACATTCAGTATTTTCATTACTATCCAGAATATTGCAGTTTATAGATATCATTTCTATGCTCCCTACAGTCAGACAGATTACTATTTCTTTTCTCCAAAGCAGTGAAGGATTTCCTCTCTCTGTTCCTGTTACACCTGACACAGGCGCTGAGGTCTGAGGTTTCTGTTTGCCTCTCCCTGTCACTCATCTCACTGTGCCCCTGAGAGAGCACAGAAATACACCGCTGCATCCTCCAGCTGGGAGTCTGAGATCCTGAGGCTGAAGTGTTTGCTTGCTTTCTGGAAGTTCACAGCGAAGCGATTATCTGTTGCATTTTGTTGCCTAAAAGATTCTTGGCGGATAATGAGAATCATTTCTCTGCTGGGAGGCTGTTTGTACCAGAACAAATAATAGTGACTGTCTCTGATATCATATGTGCAGGCCAGGGTCACAGTCTCTGTCTCCTGCACGGATATTTCTGGATGAGGCTGAGTGACCATCTGGGCCAGGCTGGATCCTGTGGGAAGGAGGACAGAAAGGACTGAGCTGGGTACGACACCAGAGAGACAAAGCAGCAGACTCAGAGCTGGTTCACATCCTCACCCGCCTTTTCTCTCTTTTTTTCCCAGCCCTCAGGTAGAACATGTCAGCTTTCTGGATCCTCATAGCTGTGCTCCGTGGGGCAGTGCAGATCTTGTGTTATTAATCTCTCTTGTTTCCGAGCCCCATTAGAAAACATTATAAATAAAGACTTACACCTTCCTTACCGAGACATGTAGAGGCCACAACTGCCCACAGCAAGGTAGCAAGCGCCATGCTGACAGCTCTCCCTTAGAGTGAGACGTCTATGCTCTGCTCTGGGTGCTCCTCTGTGCTGGGCGACAGGAAGTGGTATCACAGGTGGGAGGGTGACTCTGTCTCCTTGAGGAGTTTTCCCAACACTTTATGGCCTTTCAGAAACTACGTCCTTCATTATAATTTCAAACACAAGTAAATAATGTTTTCTGAGCTCTTTTAATCTAGGATGAAAATACAGAGGAAAGAGCTGGCAAATTAATTTCTGATAAGACCTAATCTTGGAGAGGAGTCCAGACCTGGAATGGCGAGCAGAAGTGGCAGGGCTTATCTGCAACAATGGCAAACTCTACGTTTTCTCTCTTTTCAAGTAAAAATGACAAAGCAACTGTAATATATGAACAATTAATTATGGGTAATAAGGAGACTTGTTTTATTTTTGTATTCAACTTTTATATTTTTATAACTTCTTATAATAAATAATTAAAAAAATGTTTGTGAGTGAAAAGAGCACTGACTGAACTCAGAAGCTACTTATGTCAAGTCTAATGGAGCCTATTTTTCCATAGATACTTAAAAAAAATAAGTCCTTGTCGGTGCTGCATCCAGAAACTTTGCAGTAACTATATCAATAGTTCTCATCAGCCCTAAATTGACTCAAACAATGAACAGGCTTGCTCTCGTCAACTCATTCCATTCTGAGAAAATATTGTGAACAAAATACTTTTTTAAAGAAAACATACTATGATTCATTAGAATTTTGCATTTCCAGAAAGATTGACAGAGATACTTAATTCCAGAGTTGGATCCTTAGCCATATGGACGGGGTCCTGCTGTACTCCAGGCACTGTCTGAGCAGCATGGTTCTCTGTAACACAGGGCTAAGGGGCTGAGCTTCACCACTCAGATGTGCAGGAAGTTGTGAGAGTTCTGACCAGCCCTGAATGAGGCTGCTGTAATATACTGTGCCCCAAAACCCAGTTTGATAGCAATGGGAGAAGGGACAGTAGAATTTCTTCCAGATCATCTCCATTCTTGTCCTATGATTTGAATTCCTATAACTGTTTTGGACCTCCAAAAGTCTGTTCCAGTATGAGGATTTGTGTAAGCAGATTGTGTGCAAGTGATTCTATTAAATAACGGTGGGGAGTGAATGAGGGAAGGGACGTAAGCCAATACAGGGTGTTATCCTGCTCACCTGGTTATCCAGTGCTTCCTCTGCAGGGGACGCTCTCCTGTGGGTATGGATGTAAGACATTATAACCCTAACAATTTGTGCCCAAGTGCATTGCTCCTTCAGTTCATGGTCACCCTTAGTGTGGCTCTTCCTCCTCCCACCCACCTGCTCAGGGTTCTGACCTTAGGAAAGACAGGATGCTGGGCGCTTCTCACAGACTCACTGTTGATAACCTCTGGTCACAAGCCTTTGGCTCTTCTCCACTCAGCTGGTTGACGTTTTCCCCTCCTGAGGAGGAACCAGAATATCTGTCCTATTGCGGTCCCTTCTCATGGTGTCCTTCACAAACTTTACACCAGTTTGCCTCAGTTTTAGTACTTGACCTTCTATATTGGTCTTCTTAGAATGTCCAAATATATTTTCTTTCATTACTGAAGTTGATGGTCATGTCTTTTAAGACACTTTATTTTCAATATATTTGTAAAAGTCTACAAGGAAGCTCAATGGCAAGATATTTACTCTGTTCTCTCTGTTGTTTTTAGTGTTCTCTTTTTTCTGATATTAAGCCTCAGGATTTTGGACTAGTTTTAACAGAGTAAAGCCTTTACACCGAGAATCTAAATATCAGATGGAATTTGATGACATTATCTCTCCCTTTGCATGTGATCATCAAATGAAAAATATATGACAGAGCTCTAAAAAGCCCCTCAGATTTCCTTTGCTCAGAGCAAAGTTACACTCAGTGTCCTGAAGCCCTTATAGGGGGAGTGCAGGGCTCTGCAGGGTTTATGTGCAGGGCGCAGGTGCCTGAGCAGCACTGTGTGCTTGCTGCACACAGGAACATGGTGGAGCCAGGGAGCCGGTAATCCCTCATGTGCAGAGAAAAGTGCTGGCCCTCTGTGTTAAGCCTGGCTGTGAATTTTCCGCTGATCTTTTCCTTCTCATTTGACCGCATTTTTATCAGGTTGCTGAGGCCTTCCCCAGGATCCTGCCTGAACCACTGGAAGAAATCGAAATTGCGGTCTGTATAAGTACAGTTCAGGGTGAAGTTCTCTCCTTCTGGGACTTTCAGAAAAGCCGGGCTCTGTTCCACCGGTGCTTGTTGTTTAGACCCTGTTCAGGTGGAGTGAAGAGGTTTCCATACATAAGACACTTGTTTGTTTTTTTTGTTTTTGTTTTTGTTTTTCTCCCCTTAGTTGTTCTATTTTCCTTAGAATGAGGCCAGGCTGTCCCTGGGATCCCTGGAGGTTTCTTTAGCAGCGGGGCCCCATTGCTCTCGCTCGGCCCTTCCCCCCCCTCCTCCCTCCCCCCTCACTCACAGGTTGGCTGCACACACAGGAGCATCAGTGCAGCTCCCAGGGGAACCGCCATTCCTGCTTCTTCCTGCAGCCTCTGAGGGTTCAGGTCGGAGGCTTGGAACTGGCTGTGTTTGGGGGCTTAGGTCTCTGTTCCAGATTCTTCTGCTTCTTTTGGTGTGGACACCCCCGGAGATCTCATTCTCTTGTCACAGCCAATCAAAGACTCACTTGTCACATAAAAGCCGTCATGAAAACACCCCTCCTGGCTGCTCCTGCTCAGAGTTCTAGCTCCCAGCCTGTCCCTGCTGTCAGTGGAAGCGCTGCCCCCATGTGGTCTGAGCTTTCTCATTAAATTTTTGTTTTCTTTCCATTTCCCCTTTAGTACAAACTAACTCATTTCGTTCTATGAAGGAAATTAGAACATAGAGAGAGGGGGAAAAAGAAAACAAAAATGATAGGAAAGAAAACATAGTCTCAAAGTGTTCCCTGGGGATGCTTGTCTGAGTCTTCTTAGTGCCTGGTCCCCCCTTCCTCACCCTCCTCAGCTTCACGGCCCTCGGCGCGGGTTCTTTGCCTGTATGACTCTGGGCTGCATTCCGAGGGGTATAAATAAAAGTTTGAGAGAACTGGGTGTTTCTCTCCACTGGTCAGGGTCCACCTTGCTTTGTCAATTAATTACCCTCAACAGTTTTAAATTAGTTAAAAGTGTTAGACCTCTCACAAATTCTCTCTGAAAATATAAAGAAGAGAAATATAATACCATTTTTTAAAAATATATTCTCAGCTTTGATAGAACTACCTGATATTGGCTAAATCAGAGAATGCTATTGCTTTTGTAAATATCTAAGTCATTACTACATTTAGATCTGGGCATCTTGTAAAATCTGGTAATTTCTCATATTTTACACATTAGATATCTAAAATCTTGTCTTATGGTCTCTTTATTTTCATTAAGGATTAGGGACACAAGTGGACAAGAGATCAAGGCAGGAATTTCTCCTCTATTCTTTACATCCAGTCCTCACTCTGATGACTTTAGGTACCATCTTAAGCACTTTTTACAGCTCCATTCCCTAGATAAGCTTTGGCCCGAACAAGCCCATTGCCATCCATCCCTCCCTTCATTTCTTACTGTGGGCCCAAGTTTAGGGGCTGAGAGTCTGTGATGAGTAAAGAGCTGTGATCGTCATTGATGGTAATTGTATATGTCAGTCATCCATTCTCCTTCAGACATGAAATTATGTAAAATAGGGAGACTGCCCCTTCTAGCTTCTCCCCTGAAGCACAGTGTAACTGTATCTCAGATAGGAGTTAGCGCCCTCTCAGAGATGCAGGTCTGATGTGATCTGTGCTCAACCTTCTTCTGACCTCTCATTGCTGCTTGAGAAAAAACAATAGGCACCTGGGATGGTCACAGCAGAAGCTGGTTGTGTGTAAATTGCTACACTTTCCTGGGCATGTGATTGTTCTTTTTCCCAGTCAAAACAGTTGTTAAGTCACGTCAAGTCTGGCACTGGAGAAAGGCTAACAAAATTTTTAGGTGTCTTAAGATTTTCACACTACTGATGAGGACACTTTGGAATGTTTTCAAAGTAAAGAATTTCAGTCTGGAAGAGAAGTTGTCTCAGTTGTCTGGAAGAAGTAACATTTACATCAGAGTTTCCCTTGTAACTGTCTTCTCCCCTGTCTCAGACGTGGTGACATTAACATTCCAGATCATTACCAGCAGGAATATTTATAGTGAAAGGTGATTAATAATTTTCCTGGACAATGATAGATAGGAGCAAAAATAAATATGGAGCATCTGCTGTGTAATGCTTATTCACCTAAGCACTTTGGGATGTTTAATAAAATGTACAAAATAGATTATGCTAATAATAAATTTGAGAAGACAAGAAAAACTTATAAAGTTAATTAACTCTTGGAAGCAGTGCATTATAGGCATCAGCATTTACAACAAACAGAAGCAAAACTCTGGAAAATTGTTTGCAGTTAAGAGTAAGTAGCTTTCCCTGACTGGCCGGCTCAGTTGGTTGTAATATTTGTCCCATACATCAAAAGGTTGCAGGTTTGATCGTTGGCGTTGGCATGTATGGGAGGCAACAGGTCAATTTTTCTCACATAAATGTTTCTTCCTCTTTCTCTAAAATCAATAAATATAGCCTAGCATGAGGTTGGAAATAATAAATATATATTTTAACAAAGGGTAAGTAGCTTAAATGACATAAGAACTAAGAAGAAAATCAAAAGATCATTTCCATTGATGCTGGAAAACATGTAAGAAAATACCATACTTCCATTTTAAAATCCTTAAAAAAGGAGTTAACAATTTCTTAACATAAATATGCATATGCTACATTCCCAATTCAGCACTTACTGATAGGGAAATTCTTGAAGCTTTCCTTTATAGTTAGGAGGAAGACCATGATGTCCCTACCTTTACCACTATTTAACACTGTGTTGGGGCTACTAGATAATCCATCAGCCCAAAGAAAAGTGTGAGAAGTCTAAAAATTAGAAAGAAAGCATTAAAAATAGCATCTGCATGTTTGCAGATAAAATCA